ACGCCCCCGGCTGGCAGAGGGCAATGAGCAGGTTCTGATCGGCGACTTTTCGCAGTCTGCCTCAGTCCCCGAACAGCCTGCGCGGCCCTTGGTAACCCGGGCGACGACCTAGGCGGTATAATATTCGAAGGCGTCAGTACCATGAGCGGCAGGTGGCTGAATTTTACGGAGACTTGCCACGTCTCTAACCCTCCTCCTTTCTCATCCAGGCTTGGGACCGGCCATGTTTGCCAGTTTCTGGCAAACCCTTTACAGAATTTCTTATATGCAAATTCTTCAACGTTTCGGATCATACTCGATCGTTTTCCGAGGGAGACATGCCATTAAACAGAATCATACGATATGCATCAATGCAATCAGGTACAAACTTTACTATCGAGGTCACATCTTCGATAGTGGAAACTGCTTCATAATTTTGGCTACTTCGTGAACCTAATTTTAATACATTTCCGTGAAACTTTATCGGACGTGCTATAATGGCACTACGGTACTTGTCTCCTCAATTCAGAACGGTAGCGGTTTCGTCGCTGACCGTACCTTCATCTTATTTTTGTTGATCTTCCTGATGTTCCTACACCTACCCCCCCTCCAGCTTTCAGTCTGCCGACTTTTCGCAGTCTGCCTCAGTCCTCAACAGTCTGTGTGGTAGGAGATGACCGAGCAGGTATAATCTTCGATAGCTGCAATACCATGAGGGTAGATGGTTAAGTGTCACGGTAAACCTCGCTACGGACCTCAATCCTCCTCCTCCTCTCTTATCAGGATTTGAAACTGGCAAAAACGAAGTTCGACATTTAGTAATGGAACATAAATTTTTATCACAAAGGGCAAAAGACATTTCGGCACTTAGGCTTTTTCTACCTCTGAGTGACTGGACTAGATGTTCTGGTATTAAATAATATAAGTTGGTCGTGAATGCAATGAAAAGGAGTCATTATGTAGTCGACCTGCCTGGCAATCAAGAAACGCAAGTATATCGCTTCTATCTTATTCCGTTGTGCATCTGATTTCTATTTTTTTGTTCAAGTAACTCAGACAGGTGTTGTCACCATACTTCCGGCATATAACAGCATATCGCTATCATGCTCGATTTTCCAATGACATAACAAGGGTAATTTCCTCAGATTCCTCCATATATTTTTGCAACTATCGAAGAAAGCGTTGAGTCCATGGCTGCTTCGCCTCCCTGGGCCTGTTCGCCAATCGTCCGTTTCTCTTGTCCGCATTTAAAATTTAATGCTGCAGTTTTGGATGTAATCCATCTGGTTCACTAGGATGATTAGAGTCTACTTTTCCGCGGGCATAAATCCCAACGGGTAAACACGCTTCAAACTGTGAAGTAGCTGCAAATTTTCTTTGATATTGCTTCTGAATTTCTTGAAGATGCCAGCTACTCGCCTCCGCCATGCCAGCGAACCCTTCGACTAAATTTCCATCAGTACACGGTATAGTTTTTCACTTGATAGCATGAATTCCATAGGCAAAACATTCGCTAAGGTTGCCAAGTTCAAATCTTCCTTCGTTGCAGATGCACCTGCGTCCGCAAGTGCCTTATTCGGTAATTTTATGATGAATATGCTTCCTAACTGACCGTTGTCATATTTCGAATCCTCCTTCAACTCTATTGTTTCTTAACCGATTTTTACAAGCTGTTGTTCGGCAGCTGATTTAGAGTGCTTACCCTTGTAACGAGCCATTCCTGATGTTTCCCCATACTTCATCAGGCCTACGGATTCAAAGAAGTGGTGCGCTTTGTGAAATTCTGGCCACGGATAGCTATCACTGACGAATGGCGAATAGACATCATCTGCACCTACCGGAACAGGCTCCTGTTCCATTTAACAGGTTCTCACTCTAGCAGAGAATACATTCATGCTTTTACTGATATCCATTAAATTTTGCTGGTCACTACTTTATACCAAATAATTTGTTGTGCCAGCTGGGTTACTCATTAGCTTAATGAGCTGCAACCATGAAGTTGTAGTTAGAATAAACACTATGAAAGATTTGTCATACGCAACTCCTTTCAGTAACGAAATTTGCTTTAAATGTCTATAGAATCGTTGGAAACAGCACTAAACACGGTCCATTTATACACAACGCAAACAACAGTTGAATCAATCGTATAAGTAACCAGTACCAATGATTCGGCCCGTGTATCTCAGGCACTCTACAATCAGAGGTGGATAGGTTAGTAAACTGTTTCTTTCGTTATTAACTGTTCGAACGTTACTAGATGAGATCTTAGACCGATGTTCCAGCTGAAAATCTGACATGGTCGTCTAATTAGGTAGTTAATTAACAATTCGAATCCTGTCACGGTTAACACTGTCTCAGGTGCACAAACTCAACCAATATCTTTCTTTGATGACGACAGTGCAGCCTCCTCATTGCCGAAAGGGGAGTAAGGGAGATCTTCCACAATCCCGGAAGGGCAGTAAATCGTTTTGTTTGTAGCACGAGGTGAAACGCATGAACCAAGCACTCAATCTTCGGATACATTAAGTTTGAATCATATTCACGCCTTTGGCCAAAATTCATGTATTCACATTTTATTTTCAAGAAATTAGTTTAAAGCTAAACGGTTCAGTCTTGAATCAATGAGACGACGTGTATGCAGTTCTTCAATCAATCGATTCACAGTTTCAAAAAACGCAAAGACGCAAAATAATCGTCTGTTCATCAAAACCTGAAAATCACGCAAAATTTACAGAACACATACAGTTTTATGTAGGATACCGGAAGTTAGAAGTTCTTCTAGCACACGGTAAGAAACAAAGAAGCGAACTTTGAAAACACGCTAACTCATACAAGAATTCAATGCGCTAAATGCGGTGGCATCCCGCAATAGGAAAATTACCGACCGT